AACACAGCCCCCCTAATGCAGCACTTAGCGTACCTCCTCTTGGACAGCTCCCAGGCAAACTCCCGCTGTTAGCCTCCCAGCCCACTGGCCCTACATCCCCCACTTGGATAGTGGCCATGTATTGAGAATCATATACAGGTGCTCAGAGGGGAAACCACAGCAGAGGAAAGTTAGGAGGGACCAGGACCAGGCGGGAGAATGTTATTTGACATGAAGAAACAAGATTGAGAGAGAGGCAGCCCAGGCAGCCAGAGCCGGCCCCTGGCACATTTCTGACCTCACAGCATGTTGTATCCCTGCCCTTTCAAACTGGGTCATTGATTGTATCCTTCAGTGTCCAACCTATCTATTAGGTGAAATGTCAACATTCCCTTTGCATTTGTCTCCCTTGCGTTTGCCCTTTCCCTTGTCCCTGCCTTCCCTTCTTTTGCCCCCTTCCTCTACTCCAGAGCTTATTAGCTTTTCCTCTGTTTGTTTCAGTCTGTTTTCCCCTTTTGTATACTGTGAAATAACTGATCTCTCCTTTCTTTTCCTCATGCTCTCTTTCTCCTTCCCCCAAGTCTCCAAATCTCTCACATACTCCCTTCTTCCCTGCCCACAAAATCAAAGGCATACTGTCCTGCTTCCTTGCACCCCACAAATCTCTCTCTCCCCACACACACACTGAAGCCTGCCCCAGGCACAAGCTAATGCACAAGCATGTGCAAGGTTGCCCCAGGACCCACTCACACACATAGGCTCCTTCTCCCCCACCCGAAAGCCATTCACACACACACACACACCCTGTTATGCAGGGTCCCAGCACACTCCAAGTTCCCTTCCCGTCACAACAGACACCTGGATTCTCTGTCCCCTGCCCTAGCCCCCACAAACACAGAGCCTCCCCCACAATTTTCCCCTTCCCCAGCCCCACACTCATTGGCCTCATGCAAGTGAGGAAACTCACTGTGTTAGAAAATGCATTAGCTGACACACTGCTAAAGACAACTCAGCACCTTGTCTAGACAGGATCAGGTGGGGTGAAAAACAGCAGCTGGTCATGGCCAACCCAATCACATTAGCTGCCTATAGCTCACCTGAGGGTACCCCATAGCCTAAATTTACAAACAGCAAATGAATTTATAAGCCCAGCCATCCCTGTTTATGCTAGGTGCCAAGAATTGTTTACCAGCGTGCTGCTTAATGCATTTTCTTTTCTAACACAGAGCATTTCCCCAAGGTAGATGGACCTTCAGGCCTTGGCTACACACAAGTCATACTGCTGTATCTGTACTGGTATAGTTAAAGTGGTGCGACTCCCGCACTGTAGACAGAGTTATAGTAGTGTAAAGGTGTTAATACTGGTAGAACTGTTCCCGTAGAGATCTACCCTGCTTTGAGCAGGGGGTTGGACTAGATGACCTCCTGAGGTCTCTTCCAACCTTAATCTTCTATGATTCAATCAGTATATGTGTAACCCTTCTGCCCATCAGAGTTGGCAGCAACAAGGGCTGGCTTCAGAATCTAGGGATTCCTTTTCAATAACACAATGCAAAACCCGCTCGAGCCCCCACCCAGTGACCTGGGACAATTACATACCACCAGTACCAGATTTATCCTGGCGCCGGGCCCATGGTCCAAAGGGGCCCCGGCCCGCTCTTCTCAGAGCCCCTGCTCTCTCCTCTGGGGGCAGAAGCTTGATGCTGCCGGCTGCTGGGGCCCCTGCTGCAGCAGGGCCGGCTCTGCCGGCAGCCAAGCTCCTCCCCCGCCTCTTCCCCCAGCGTGCTACATTCCCTCCCCTCCCCATCTCCCTGCCACCGATCAGCTGTTTGCAGGCAGGAGGGAGGGGGAAGAGTGGAGCCTCAGCATGCTCAGAGGGGGCGGGGCCTTGGGGAAGGGGTTGGAATCGGGGCATACCCCCTCCAGCCCCCCGCATGAGCACACCCACAGCCCTCTGCTCACCCTGACCCCTGCATCCCCCTCATGCCCCCCAGCCCCCTGCCCTGACCTTGCACCCCCCACACCTCCCCAGCCCCCTGCCCTGACTCCTGCATCCCCCTCACACACACCCAGCCCCCTGCCCTGACCTCTGCACCCCCCTCATACGCCCCCAGCCCCCTGCCCTGAGTCACGCAACCTCCGCACACACACACACCCTGCCCTGACTCCTGCACCCCCCACATCCCCACCCCCATCCTGAGCACCAAACAGGAGCTGCCCCAGGTAAGCGCTCCACACCCCAAACACCTGCCCCAACCCTGAGCCCCCTCCCTCACCCTAGCTCCTGGCCAGACCCCGCACCCCAACGTTTTTTTATAATATTTGAAAAGATTGTTAAGTGGTACATCGAGACTCTCCGCAATTTTCAAGTGGTCTGTGGAAAAATGTTAGACTACAAGGACAATCAAGGTACCGCACTTTATTTTCATTTACTTGCTATTACTTATAGGAGGAGGATGAAGAAAAAAAGAATGAAAAATGGGGGTTGGGGGGGTGATAAGAGAGAATGTTCTTTTTTTTGGCTGGATCCCAAGGAGGAGCCCCAAAAATTCAGCTGAGCACAGGGCCAGGGGGTCCCACTAACTCTAAATCCACCACTAGCTGTCACGTCACCTGGGCTGGGGATACTGTGTCAGTTGATCCCCACAGTCTCCAACCTACCTGGGTAGTACAGCAGACATGGCCCTGCCCACTAGCTCCTCTCCACTCCCTAGCCCACTCACCACTTGCCCCCCCCGCTTAAGCTTTAGCCCTCTCACTTTTAAAAATGATTGCTTGTTCCCCCCCCCCCTGGTTTTTCTGGCAGCCCTGTTGCCAGGTATCCAGTTTCAGACTGGAAACTCCAGTAGAAAATGGGACCTGAGTGTCCGGTTAGCAGTGCTGACTGGAAACTAAAAGTCCGGTTATAGGAGTAACCACATTAGCCTCTGCTCCTCCCACTCCCAACACCCACCCCAGAGGGCTGGAAGAGAACCTGTCCTGCTGCTGTGGGAGGAGGGGCAGCTCAGTGCAGAGAGAGACAAAGAGACTGGGCTAGAACCAGGTAGGTACCTGCTCTATGTGGGCAGGGGCAAGGGGGGATCCTGTTTACCCCCTCCCCAGCCCTGCTGCACTTCCAGTTTACTCCTGGCCCCTCCCTTGCTCCAGGGACCAACTCTAGCTCCTGCCCCACTGTGCTTTTGCCCCCAGCCCCTTTTATAATCATTCCCCAGGGGAGCCCACAAATATGTTTGGTGCTGGGCCCACAAAAAGTTAATTCGGCCCTGCATACCACCCCCCTGGGCACCTTAAGAGGCAATACTTCCCCTCTCGCAAACACAGAGTCTGAATGAAGCAAAAGCCTTTTAATAAAGGAGGGAAACAATGCGGCATGATGTTGGGGAAATACCACAAACAGGATTCATAACACAAACCATGAGCAAAAGACCCCCCAGGTAAGTTTGGCTAGGCCGATGAAAACTCTCCATCCGTCACTCAAGAAGATGTCACCCCTGCCCCTGAAGTCCTTTTCCACAGTTCACCACCAGATGTCAGGGTAGAGCTCAGTCTGTGCCCAGACTAGAGGTACCAGTAGAAAAGTTACAGCCCTAACCAAAATAGTTGTAGTGGCACAAAATCTGTGTGTTGGCCAGGTCTTAGAGGCGTCTTCTCTCCCTTCCACCCTTCTTGAGTGTCTCTCCCCTCCTCCCCAACCATGTGTGCAGGTTCTCTCCCTCCGTTTCCTGCCCTCCTCCCTAGGATCTCTCACCCAAGGTTTTTCTTTCCTTCTCCCCTGGTTTCTCCTTCCCTCTCCCTCTCCTTGCTCCTTTGGGTCCAGGTGTCTCTACCCTCCTCTCCCCCTTTGCCTCAGGAGGATTCCTGTCCCCCCCCCCATCCTCCTCCCCAGGACTGTCGCCCATTTTGAGGAGGCAGCCTGTTGCAGGGGGATGAAGCAGCTCAGTGACATCTAGCTTCCTCTCCCCCCGCCCCAGGCTCTGGTGGCTACAGCAGCCCAGGGGTGGGCCAGCACCGAGAGCAGCTCAGGGGGCAGCAGGTGAGGCAGAGGATGGTTTGGTCCAAGGGGCATTACATGGAGAGAAGCATCAAGGTGGCACATTTTAGGACACTGGGAGATGCCTTACAGCTCCCCAGACGTAGGGGTCATAACCAGGGAGGAGAGAGTTGGGGCCGGGTCCCCTTTCCCTAGGGCAAGTTCCTGTGGGGATGGTTTGATTGTTGCTTTTTTTAAGGTGCTGAAATACTCATATAAAGACAAAGGGAACTTTTTAAAAATGAGAGCTGGGGCCGGTGCTGCCGGTGCCTGACTTTGCATTGACACGGGTGTATATGGGGGTCCCACCCCCCCGACACCTCAGTGCTGTGAGTGAGCATATCGTGAAACCTGACCAAATGGTACCATTCCCACTGAGCAATAGCACAGCTCTGCCGGTGTCTTCGCTGGCTCTGCTCCATTCCTCACTCCAAGCACTGCTCCTCGCTCTGAACACTCGTTCCATGGGAGTGATGGCCCCTGGTCAGCACAGAGTGAC